TACTCAATCTTTTAATCTTCAAGATGTTTATTCAAGATTTACAAAATCAACTACCCCAATAACAATAGAAGATTTACAAAAAGAATTAAAAATTATTAAGAATGAAATTAAATTAATAAGAGATAGGTTATCTATTGTCGAAAACGATAAAGAACCTATTGAACAAACTATTGAACAAACAGATGATCAAACGATTACTCAAATAAAAAATAAAATAATTAATCATACAAAAGGAATAACTACTCAAAAATGGAATGTTCATATTAATCTATGTATCAATAATGAATTCAAAGTAACTGTCTTAGCACTAATTGATAGTGGTGCAGACATGAATTGTATTCAAGAAGGAATTATACCTACAAAGTATTATGAGAAAACAAAAAATCGTTTATCAGCTGCAAGTGGTTCATCACTTAATATTCAATATAAAGTATCAAATGTTTATATTTGTGACGACGAATATTGTTATAAAACCTCTTTAATACTTGTTAAAAATTTAACTTCTACTCTAATATTAGGYACTCYATTTATTACTCAATTATACCCATTCTTAATCAATCAAGATGGTTTAATCAACAAAGTATTAGATAAAGAAATATTTTTCAAATTTGCTAGTCCAATTGTTTATAGTGAATTAAATAATTTAAATAATAAAATTAATCAAGTAAAATTCTTAAATGAAGAGATAAACGGTTTAAGAATTTTTAAGAATTTTTAAGAATTTATCAAGTTCATTTATTCAAAATAAAATAAAAAGAATAAAAGAAAAATTCGAAAATAATGTTTGTTCAAATATTCCAAATGCTTTTTGGAACCGAAAACAACATATAGTCAAATTACCATATATTAAAGAATTTGAAGAGAAAAATATCCCTTCTAAATCAAGATCTATTCATATGTCTTCTGAATTACAAGAACATTGTAAAACAGAAATTCAAGATTTGCTTCAAAAGAAACTTATAAGACCTTCTAAATCTCCTTGATCATGCTTAACATTCTATGTTATGAATGCTTCTGAAATAGAAAGAGGTGCCCCTCGACTTGTAATCAATTACAAACCTTTAAATAAAGTTTTAGAATGGATTAGATATCTCATTCTACATAAAAGAGATTTACTCAAAAAATTGCATGAAGCAGAAATCTTTTCAAAATTCGATATGAAATCTGGATTTTGGCAAATCTAATGCTCAGTTAATTGTAGAAACTGATGCTAGTGACATAGGATTTGGAGGAATACTCAAACAAAAATCAACTAATCAAAGTAAAGAAGAATTAGTAAGATACTTTTCAGGTGCCTGGAACGACACCCAAAGAAATTATTCAATAGTTAAAAAAGAAATTTTAAGCATTGTTTTATGTATACAAAAATTCGAAGATGATTTATATATGAAGTAATTTTTATTAAGAATTGATTGTCAGTCTGCAAAACCAATTTTAGAAAATGATATCAAAAATATGATTTCTAAACAAATTTTTGCAAGATGGCAAGCCTTGCTTGGAAATTTTGATTTTCAAATTGATTTTATCAAAGGAAAAGATAATTCTTTACCCGATTTCTTATCAAGATAATTTTTACAGGGTAGATGACTTCTCAAAAGACTCCACAATTTTATCAAAAGAAAAAAACTCTCTCTCTATTCAAACTGATCGATCAATAGTTCTAGTTACTCCTACTCAAAATAGATTTTCTCCCTTTTCCCAAACTCCATTACGTCCATATTATTCTCATTTCGGACAAGAGCGTTCATCGTAATTGAAATAAAGACAGATTAGTGATATAGTATTGAAATAGCAAGCATAATGATCAAAAGATACCTTTATTGATTAAACAATCTTGAATACAATTGTTGCCGAGACAATTTGAGCACACATCAGGAGCAATGATAAGATTGAAATCTAAAGATTTGGAACATTGAGAAGTTGAGAATTTGAGAGAAGATTTCTTTGACATAACATACCAACTAAGAAATTCTAAGAATAAGATTTTCTGAAAAACTCTCGAYRAYSTGAATGAATGAYTTTGATCTTCTTTTATAGTTGAAATCTTGAATTGGATGACCGGCATCTTCCAGTTATCTTCAAAATAATTGAACTTGAAACTGGCACCTTGCACCGTTCTGGAACAATTATTAAAGTTGTTGAAAAGGAGTGGAGCACACCCCGACATGTAGAATCTCCATTCTATAAAGTCGGTTGTCTTTTTTTTTTCTTTAGTAAAGACGGTTGTCTTCTTTCTTCTTTTGATAAAGCTGATATCGTCCAATATCATTAATAATTGAAAAGCAACATCAGCAGCATCTTTTGAATAATAATGAAGAATCATCATCTCCTTTTGAAAATACGTTCTGACAGTATTATCATCTTGATAAGAAATAAATCTGCACATATTTGATAAGATAATAATTTTGAACAAGATGCTATCGGAAATACCAAAAAGTGTATTTCACGTATTTTTTTGATAAGATATATTTTGATAAGATACAAAGAAATTGCTTGCAAAAGCAATACCCAAAACACACGCAAACACTGCCCTTAAAGATTATAATAATCTTCATAGGGATCTTGACTAGAAAGAAGACAACCGACTTTATAGAATGGAGATTCTACATGTCGGGGTGTGCTCCACAAACCCTTCCTCCAAGGGTGATGGAAGGATTCAAGAAATTTCTATCAACCTTCTCAAAGCTTAGATCATTATAGTCAAGATCCCTATGAAGATTATTTTTAATCTAACAATGCTTAAAATTTCTTTTTTAACTGTTGAATAATTATATTATATTATATTATATTATATTATATTATATTATATTATATTATATTATATTATATTATATTATATTATATTATATTATATTATATTATATACATATGCAAATTACATACTCTCATTCCTTCAAAACCGTCAAACTTCTCTGTAAGTATACTCTGCTTTACCTTCTTTATGTGTTTCATTTTGTGGTTTAACGGAAACCTGAAAAATCTGCCATACCCCCCTTATTGGTATCAGAGCATAGAACGATTCTTTAATTTAAAAGACTAAGTCAGGCTCGATTTATTTTGATGGCATGTATAAGCCCATCGTTGTTGTTTTCGAGAACCACCTTTGGTTTCTTAGACTTTACATATGTTTAATTTGTATTTGTTTCCTTTTAACTAAAAGATAAAGTTATGTGACATTTGTAATTAGAATCAGTGATAGAATTGTCCGAATGTAATCATAGAGATAACATTGAAGGTCTATAAATACCTTCATTTGAATCCATTGTAAAATCATCGAAACGAAGCAATAAAAATCCATAGCTTTCAAAACCCTATGAGTCACTAAACCCCTTCTCTCTATCTCTCTAAGTTATTTTTGCTCTTCTCTTTCCTTTCCAGTACCTCATATCATATCCTTTACTATATATATATATATATATATATATATAAATTCCTCCGCTGCACATACTCTCCTTCCTAATCCCTACAATTTTACATCACAAATAAGAACTCTTAAATTAGGAGTCGATCCAGCAAAAAATAATACTTTAATACAAGACACAACAATTAGAAATTTAGAACAGCTAAGTATAGCTGACATGAAATATATAAATGAATTCACATTAGATWTTACAAGATTACTATCACAAACAGGTCAAGCTATGGATGATAATTTATGTGATAAATACTTTGTAAAATTACTAGGAGACTTAGGAAGATATATACATGACACTTGGAAACAACAATATGCTAATAAAATCTAGGAATAGGTCCAAGAATAACTTATACATTTAGTATTTTAGAAGACAAATGCAAAGAAGTAGCTTTACAAGAACAATTAAAAAAGAATGCTTATGCATTTTGTAAAACAGCTATATATACACCACAAGCATATGGTCATTATAGTAAAAAAAATAAAAAGCTTAGAAAAAGTACTACATATAAAAGAGGATATAAACCTTATAATAACAGATATGTTAAAAAACCTCAAACACGAAAATGTAAATGTTTTATTTGTGGAGATGAAAAACATTTAGCTAATAAATGTCCTAATAAAAATAAAAATACAGAAAGAAGTAATTTAATAGAACAAATAGGAGATTACAATATAGAATTAGTAGAAACAGATAACTCTGATAATGAATCGATATATAGCATATATAGTGATGAGGATAAATCACTTACAAAAATTATATATACATATGTTAATACAGAACAAGAAGAATGTTAACATAACTGGATTTATAAAAGAGGAAATAATTATATAAAATGCTTTTATTGTGGATATTATCCAAGTATAAATAAAAGATCACAATGTAATATATGTTTTAAAGAAATTTGTTACATTTGCCTTGAAAAAGTCTTTAATATTGAATTAAATACAGATAAAGACATTAAAAAGAAAGGAATTGACACTGAAGTATATAATGAAAAAAATTAAAAAGAAAGGAATTGACACTGAAGTATATAATGAAAAATTTGAAAAACTTGAAATAGTAGCCGAATTACATAAATTAAAAATAAGTAATATGGAAGAAAAAGCTATATACGTAGATAATTTATGAACAAATATAATTGAAAAGGTCAATAATATAGAAAGCAAAATTGATGCACCTCATAAAGAAGAAAATAAAATGGCTCAAGAATATGAAGAACAAACATTTATACAAACTATAGGTTCAATTACTATGATTAATTTGCAATGCCGATTATGGTTAGATACTAACAAATTCTTAGATTTAACAGCATTATTAGATACGGGAGCAATAAAAAGTGTAATTTATTATGGTTTAGTACCTACAGAATATCATAAAAAGTTAACCTATAGTTTATTTACTAGAATAGTTGAAAATAGATTAATTCAAATTAAAAAATATATAGAACCTACAGGAATACAATTATTAGATTTTGTAGGAAATTATAGTATTAAATATGATATTCCACACGTAAATATAAATCCAGAACATATCAAATCAACAGATTTTGTACTTGGTTTAAACTTTATTTTTGGTATCAACGGAGGTATAACAATCAATAGGAATTTTATTACTTTAAGTAAACACAGTTATAGTTTTCCTACCTTACGTTATCAAAATACATCAGAGTTTGCCCGAAAGCGTGGTGGACAAGGCAATTTAGATTTTTAGGTGAAAATTAAGGGATTAGTTGGTGTTTTCATACTATTAAGATGGTAGCGATGAATTTCTCTATATTTTTAAATTTTGTAAAGTTTATATTATAGATCTTATGTAGCTTTCATTTTATAATTGATCTTATGTAACTTTCATTTTATAACTTATATAAAAAGGGATATGATAAAATTTTAATGAAAAGATTGGAAAGTAAAAATTAATTTTAGGGAGATAAGTATTTTAAATATTGAAAAAACTCTTGAAATCATAGGTTCGTTAAACTTAAAAAAACTTGAATTTTTAAATCTTTACTTAAGCTACTAACTATTTTATCTGTCTTCTTCTTTTATAGCAAATATTATATTATATTATATTATATTATATTATAATTTGGGGTTTTCTAACCCCACCCCCCTACTACCAACTAAATCTCACCCCCTCCTACACTAACGGATAAAAAACAGCTAAAAACAAAACTTAAATATTTTCATTTTTAACCTTTTAAATTTTTAACTTTTAACCCTAACCTTTTTATATTCTAACTTTTAACCCTTTACTTTTTTAACATGTTTTGTATTATTATTAATTAATAAAGTATTAATAATACATATTAATAAAATATTAATAATACATATTAATAAAATATTAATAATACATATTTCAAGTATAAATTAAATTTATTAATTAAAACTTTGATTTTTCATGTTAAATCAACATATTCACGAGTAAGAGTACGCTCTATATATTCTTCATATGCATTGAATCTATGTTGATACGGGACAATCCATGTACTTGCATCTTCAAAACGATAACGAGTCCAATGGTGTGTAAGTATGGACATTGGATATTCTCCATTTAATACCACCTTTATGTAATGGTTACCATCAACATGCACTATTGCAATTGCCACGTGTTGAGATGACGACGGAGGTTGTGTCCTAAACGGTAAGTATGTCACACTACCTGCCATAATGAGAACATGCAGTATGACATTGAACCTTGAAGCCGTTAGAATGCCCWTTTCAGGCATAACAATCCAATGCGCAACTGGTGCAAAGACGCCCTTTTGGAAAAAATTTAGTGCTTCGTGAATGCGTAAGCACTCATCGCCAATCACATAGGAGTAATATTGTTCATACTCAGTTAGTTCAATCATTAACTCTTTACGGATATTGTCCCATTCGTCTTCATGACCACCCATACAAGTAGATATCGCTCGAAATCCACAATTTCCATCTCCTAATACATCTTGTATTTGTATGATGTATGGATGAAATAAACTCGGGATTTGATCAAGATACGGATGTCGGGTGGTGGGTTGTCGTTGGAAATAGGAACTATGCCTCGTTGATTCTTGATGCCCCAAATCTTCAGAGTTAATAATTGACGGCACGTTAGAACAACTACGTCTACGGTCTTCAATAATTCTTTTATTCAAAGCTTGACTCTTTGTAGATGGACGGCCACGTGTGGTTTTATGAACCAAGTGTTCATCACGGTTTTGATGGCATTATTATATCCTTCAACTTTCTAAGTAAGCTTTTACGACCATGATACGACTGCTTATTAAATTTTTCTTTGAACAATTGAACTTCATCATCACATCCAATCTCGTCATCTTGTGTGGACACACATGGTGAAAAATCAAGTTTTTTCCAAAATATATCGATTGCATCAAGTGGAATGGGTATGCCTTGACATGTATACAGTGCTTGTTCATGAGCACAAGGCAACCCATGACTTCTACGCAATTTACAACCACACTTTTCAGAAAATAGCGCTATCAACTCAAATGGGCATCCAAATTTTTTTGTTCCCGTATGACGAATGGGAATTACTTTATAATTGTAAGCTCCGCYGTGTTCACACATAAACACAACTTTATAAACATTTTCATTTGGCTTTGCCTTTGATCTTTTCGTAACAACAACACAACCAACTGAACGCCCCACATTGTTCACCCACTTGGTTATTTCTTCCCGAGAATTGAACATCTGGAAAAAAAAAATTATAACTTTCATTTGTACAAGTAAGTATTAATAAATCTAAATATCAATTAACATAATATTGTACCTCGTTGGTGAAAAATTYTGGTGTTGTTATCRAATCTTCTCCCATATTTGATGTATATTGAAGAATGAGAGAGTTATATATTGAAGAAGAATGAGAGAGTTATATAAGAGAGTGAAATATCGAATGAA